TTCATATAAAAGCGAGAAGTTTATATTTCAACTTCAACTCGTGCGATGTACATATCACGAAAAAAAAACTTTAAAATTAAATTTACTATTGCTTTCTCTCACACCTTCCCACCTTCATTCTTGTTCATTCAAAAAATTTCCTTTGTAATTGTTTGTTCTGCTGATGTTGCACATTAATGTGTATATAAAAACACCACCCAAAAAAAAGCATTTGTGTCCCACAAAGCATGCATACCCTCGTAAATTTATAGTTTGGAAGTGAAAAAAAGGAATAAAATCAATGTGGCGTGCAGAAACTATTAAATTTCAGTATTGAACTTTTATTAAATGCTCTTATTATTATATTGTTTGTGTACTTATACTACCTCTTACCAATACTAATACTTTAAATTTTAATCTTTTGTCGATAAACTCTATAACAAGTTTGCATTGCTATTGACCTATTACTTATAGCATTTTGTCTTTTTGATTACTTGGAACTTTACAATTAAAGTTCCTACTTACTACATTTTTGATAATTGTTTTACAATTATTTTGGTGACAAAGATCCAACAAAAAATTATGCAATCTCCTGATGTTGCTGCCAAGTTTTTGTTGAGCTGATTATCATACTCTCATATAATCAGAGACAGAACTTACAAGGTTCTAATGGGTTATAAGAACTAGTCTTAGAATTGACTACAAAATCAAAGGAGGATAGCATAAAGATGAATACATCTATTTTTTAAATGAGGAAACAGGAACTGAGTATTTACTGTGACCGGAAAATCAGGAGTCTTAAGCACTTCAAAACCCTATTAAACTACCTGAAGTGATTTTAAAAGAACGAAAAAATTAAGAATTGTATCATAAATGTTTAGACATTTCATGATTATTCATTCTTATGTACTTATAGTTATCACTTCACTAAACATTTATTGTTATAGAATTATGTTATTAACTTACACAAATCCGTTTATATGAGAAGAAGTAGGAGTTTTTGTATTGTGATGTAAAAGGATGGAAGTTTGAGAATTTTACTTTATTTTCAAATTATCTCTCATGATCATTAAATAATTTGCAGTCGAAACTGTCTATGATGCGCACCTAATCGGATTAAATACTTACAAAAATATAAAGATCACTTTAACAACAAGAACAAAAAATTTACTCCATGATTTTTTATTAAATATCTCTTTACGTATCACCAGTAAGCAGTTGGGTAGACTTAGCATAGGTAATAAAAATGAAACGAAAGAGCGGAAACATAAAATTATATGAAATGCAGAATTATTTTTGCCATCATCATCATGATCGTCGTCGTCATCGCTTCTGCCGAAAGTTTATTTTCCATCAAATTAAATTCAATTTTATATCAATTTTATATTATTCTTATACTTTATGATGAAAATTTTCTGGGCCATCAAATTAAGCGCAATTTTATGCACCAATTTAATATTATTTTTATTCATCAAATGAATGAGAAGGAGAGAGAGACTTAATTAACCATCGTAAATGTGAGTGCATTATAATAAGCGCACTTTAAGTTACCGCCAAAGAAGATTGATTGTATCTTCATCACTTTCCTTTCATAACCACTGCATTTTGACTTTATCAAGTTTAATTGAAATCAACAAAATCATTAAATTTTTTTAAATATCATATTGATATGAGGATGGGCTTATACTTTGTTCATAAATAATTTATATGTAGCTGAAAATTCAGTAACTACTTAAATGTAATACTTGTCATTAGTTATTAATTCGTAATTCCACTCATATTAATGAAAAAATATTGTAATGAGCAATTTCAGCAGTTTGTCGTATAGTTATGAAGAAAATGACTATATGCTCTTATAGCATTGTCATCATCATCTAGTGTATTATTATGATTATTATTCAAGATTCGTGTTTGTGCATTAAATTTATATATAATAAACAATTGAATTAATGAAGTTTCTTGTTTTCTTCCTTTCATTAAATTCTTGAATGTGTGTACAAATGTGTCTGAAGGGAAGCATATCGAAGAAAATATGAATTTAAATTGTAAAGGAATAAGCAAGAAGGAAACAAATTAAATATTGCATGTAATTGTAATTAGAATTGAGAAGTTAATTATTAAACTTCATGTCCAAATAACAAAAGGCCCATACTATCAAAATAAAAAGTTCAACATGTTAATAAAACAAATTACTAACAGCTGAAAGCGTGTAAATTTCCATGGAAATGATAAAGATGTCAAATTTTAATTTTACAATTTACAATTCAATACTCATTAGAAGCGCTAAGAAAAAGTTTCATTTAGAAGAAAGAGATATGGAAGCGCATTCAAATTCATCAGGGACATAAAAGTTTAAATGCATAGTAGGTAGGGCAGATAATGAAAAAAGAAAAGAAGAGCTTGCAATTCGACATTAACGAATTAATTCATTTAAATTGTATGTAACAAGTTCATATGAGTATCTATACAAAACACCTGGTAAACTGGCAACTGCAATTTGAAATTATAGAAAATACAAAAAAGAAAAGAAACTCGTCAGACCTTCCTTCCTTGGATGATTATTAGTTTATGTGCTTGCTGCTTGCTCGCTTTCCGTTTGAAGAGAGAACTACATGCTTAATATTTTCTTCGCACACCACTTAGGTGACTTTTATAGCCTTCATTAAATACACTTAATTTTGTTTAACTGCTTTTCTTCTTTCATGCTATTATGTCTTATATTTTTCGCAAATAAATTTTTTCATTTATCGTTTCTTTGATGTAGATTTCGTGCAATTAATTCAATTCTATATCACTTTTTGAATTTATTTGTTACTTATTGAACTTTTGATTGATCAACTTGATTTTATTCGCATGACTCTTTCATGCATTACTCAATAGCTAATTAAATCTTAAGGTCTAATGTCAATCAGTGCGTAATTTAAAAATAAGAACACAACAATTTGACTGTGCAATAAATCAAATTAATCGTAATGACTTTGACAGTTTGACTCAGGAAATATTGATTAATTGAATTTATTCACTTTATCTAGCACAAAATATGCACTCTTTTCCGTTTCTTTAAGTAACTATAAGCAATAACAATTATATCTTGACTAATTACTTGTGTGATTTTTAAATTTTTACCAATTTTCTCTTATTTCTATTTGCAGATCTTTCAAGCATATCGTCTTCAATGTTTTGTCATTTTGGTAACAATAAATTTTTTTTTTCAAACAAGGTTTCTAAATTAATAAGGCACTGCGTGAACATGAATCAATTTATTAGAGATATACATTATAATTTAGTGACCCTTAGATCCTTAGCTTGATTTATAAAATAGACCATTTGATGGGTCTGTCGCTTTTTGACACTATTTTATCACAATTTTTTTTACTGATAAAGGGTAGTGTTTGGGAGGTTTAAAACCAGATAAAGTTTGGTTTGATGTAAAACTTTTTACAACTGTCTCGTATGTCTCTACAAAAAGAGCTACATTAAACATATCTAGATTTGAGCCTGAATTCATAATAAATCTATTGTTCCATTCAATGATTAAGTTTCTAAAATTGTCATTTAATCAAAAATAACTCAAATTTATGTGCATACCACAATCAAAACGTATTATGACAAATGATATTAAAGCATTTTAAAAATTTAATTACATTTCATTTTTGTTTTATGAAAAGTCAATTATTATTCAATCAACTCAAAAGGGAAATTTCATTTTGCTGAGATTGACACAACACGAAATGCGAGCAATTTGAAATCATTTTATTTCTCTATATTAAAGTAGCGATTATGATGAAATTCATTAAAATTTAATTGCATTTAATTTTATGTCACGATTTTTGTTCTCCTCGTTTCGATTGCATTGAGAGGTTTTTAAATTATATATATCCTATTTGACTCAAGGTCAATTGAAAGCGCGTTTACACCTGAATAACAAACTCAATTGAAAAAGTTCATCAAACAATTATAAACACTGTAAATTGTATCACATTTAGATTAATTATACAATGATGACTCAAGAAGTGTTTACAAATCTGGAAATATGTCTACTGTACGTATATATAAAAAGGGGGAGATCTTAATTAACTTTTTACTGATATCAAAATGGAAAAGTTTTTTTCTTTATTACTTCTTTGTACTTTTTAATCGCGATGAGTTTCTTTTTTAAGTTCCATCGTTAGATTTAAAAAATTCTCAGTATGCAAACAGTAAATTGTGCTAAAATATTCTTTATGAACACCTAATGAACAGCAGTTCAGGAATAATGTAAGACTCCTGAGTCCAGAAGGTTATTTAAAATATCAGAAATCTAGAACCTTTTAATTCAAAAAGACTTATTCGACTCATAGCTCAATTCCCACAATGGTTGATCATTCTATTATGGTGTTATGAATGGAACAAGGTTTAGCACAATGATCACAACATTAAAAGTGTCTATTTTTTCGATTTAAACGAACTTTTTTTTATGCCAATTGAGGACATTAAGTTAAGAATTGATCAGAATTGCATCAAAAGAAGGTAACACATCCGTTAAAAGCTTTGCATGTCAAAAGTCATGTAATAATTATAATTGAATTACAATGTTTCATTCCCCATTACTTACACACCGACTATTATTATGATTTTCAACGGAATTATCATGCTCAATTCACTGTGTGTACATAATATCTTCACAGTAATAAGAATAAAAAGTTTCCTTTATATTTTCTCCACGTATAAAACAGACTGAGTAAATAGTTTTACATTATCTGATCGTAAAATTAAATTGTTTTTGATTGCAATCTAAAGTAGCAAAAAGGAGAATAAGATTGGCATATGTAAAGTAAACTGCATTGCGCTACAAGCACATACACGATTTTTAAATTTTAACTTAAGTTGAGTATCATTTACAGTACATGTAGAACCTTGCATCAAATGAAATAAATGCCTTTGAAGCATGAAGAAAAAAAAACGATTCAATATGAACGATATTATTTATCTCAATTGAAATTACAAACAATAAATCAATATATCATTTGATTTGTTAAAGGCACAAATAACAATAACAACATACCTCTTTAGAAAATCAAATTAAAAATTCATAAGTATAATTTTCGTACTCTGTACTTATAACAATAATCTGTCTGTGAGAAGAAACATTTTTCTTTAACTATACTGATTGTGTGGCAGCAAAAGGCAAGTTGGTAGATAAATGCAATATTTTGTGTACTGTGGAATAAAGTAAGTGAGAGAGAGAGATGAGATGTAAGGAATAAATATCAAAATGCTAATGCGTAATGAAGAAAACAATATTTCCGATCATTTCGATTATTCATTTAATTAAAGTTTAACATTGATTTCTTTCTTTTTACTCCTTGCCTTATTTTTTATTTCTTCAAATCAAGAGAGATACATGTTCTACCCGTAGCTGCTGCTAAAGCTGCATAAATGTATATTTCATTTCCATCAACTTAATTTGGTGGCGGTTGTAGCAGCATGTAGTTGCATAAATAAATTCATTTTTACTTCGTTTTGCTTTATTGATTGAATCAATTTAATATATTCATGTATCGAAATGTATTTTCATGTTATGTGCCTTGTTACCTTGTCATTCATCGCCAAAACTTTAATTTAAATGTTTTCATATCGTTTTTGATTTCAGATCCACACATTTTAAATGAGTTGACGATTGAGCGGCTTAAAATGCAACATCACTTACAATTACAACAAGAACAATCAAGTATGGGAATATCAGAAAATTCTTCCAAATTAGATGAAATCGGTCATCAGCACTTTGATAATCATTCATTAACATTAACAAATTTGAGTGAAAACCTCATGTCTGACCATAGCGATACAGAATTGGAACACGATCCACATCGAAAACGAAAACAGAGGCGTTATCGAACAACATTTACAAGTGTTCAACTTGAGGAACTTGAAAAAGCATTCTCTCGAACTCATTATCCCGATGTTTTCACGAGGTTTGTATCTGCTGCAATTATAATAAAATATACATTAATTACATCTCAATTACATTTCCAACAACAATCGTTATGTGATGGAATGCAATATAAAATTTATATTCTTTTTAATTTTAATTTGTTACATAAAATTTAATCGAATAATTCTCGATAGATTGAGTATGAATATTTTCTGTAGGACCATTTTGGAGTCATTCACTTAAGTCGTTAACTTTTAATACTCAAAAGGAATAATCGTGGTTTTACCCTAAATCAAATATGAAACTTAAAGTTTTAGAATGACTTACCTTCTACATAGTCACTGCAGTTTAATATTTGTAATCCAACAATTATGTTTTGTGATGGATGTCATTTGTGAACGAACCCATGAGTGTACAAAAAACTTTTGGAATAAAAATGATAAAAATTCATTTTTACCTCAGTCGATTCATTACAAAACTGAGTATTTATGCCAATTATTTCCATCATATTTCATTTCCTAGCAATTAATAAAACAAATTTTCAATCAATTTCAATCAATGTTATTATAATTTTATTCTTTACATCACGCTATATTTCACGAAACAATGTATTGCATTGCATTTATTAAGTAGATGTTTATTTTATAATCCACGAGAAATGTAGAAAAGAAAACGTAAATTGGAAATTAAATTCAATGTTTGTTTCAATAATTTTACATTAATTCAATTTTTTTCTTCTTCTTCTACTTGCATATTTAATTACAGAGAAGAGCTCGCAATGAAAATTGGGTTAACAGAAGCAAGAATTCAGGTAAATAACTAATTAATCGTTCACTCTCACTTACATTCAGTATAATTTATTGCACATTTTATGATTTATGCAATAAATTTGTAATTTCAATAAATAAATGAGTTGTGCAGTTTATATTGAACTGAGATACGCTGTTACCTTTGCTTAGTCATCACGCAACTTAATTCATTTTACACTTCTTTCTTAAATTCTTGACCATTGGATGGGTAGACATGTAAGAATGTGTCTGTTGTGTGGTTGTGTGTAGGCGTCGATTTAATTGATAATGAATTAATTTTCAAATTCCTCCCCATGGAATTGTTAACGTAAGCTGTAGAAAGCGTAATAATTCATTTTATATTTTCATCTCTCTCATACTAATTTCAACATGTTTCTTTAGTCGCTCTTTGCCTTAATTTAAAAGAAAAAAAAAAATCATTTTCATTTTTTTTCTGTTACTTTTAAGACACAAGTAAGAATATTATTAAAATTTATTGTGGTTTGTAGCGCAAGCGACTTTGGTTTGTTTTAATTTTTATTTGTAATGACCGAACAGAAATTTCAAGACACGAAGAATAGATGGTGCTATAGTTTACCAAACAATTTACAAGAACGCTCTGAAATATTTATTTAATCATGAAGCTATAAAGTCATATATATTTCATAAGAAACTATAAAGTTATTGCAAATTTACGCTAAAATTACAGCAGCAGCCATAAATGAGCAAGAGAAAATAAGAAAAGCTGTTTTATGCCCGTGAACGACATCACGTTAGCGGGATAAGCAAGGAAAAATTTATGATCATGTGACAATTGATAATTTATTCCATTAAGCAAAGAAAATAAATATGTAAATATACATACAAAAGTGAATAAATGGCGATGAATGATCGTCATGAAAGAATAAAAAGTTATAAGAGATGTTGCTTACTTGTTGTTGCATACTAATCGTATTTGTAATTGATCATGTTTAATATATTCAATAATTTAATTAATATTTTTTTCCTTCAATATCATCACTATTGATCGTTATCGTTAATTCCGTTAAGCAACAAGTGAGGTACCACATATTGGTGAATGAATATATAGAAAAGGCACAGTTAAAAAAAAATATCAAAAGTGCCGTGTACGAACAGTTGAAGTGTCTCAATCGATTTGATAATTTATTTATTAATTAATGGGAGAAATCGGCGACACTATAATGTCCATTTCATTAGGTTCAAAACAATCTTTTGTGGAGAGGCTGAAAATCAAATGAGAAAAGAAAGAAACTTTGCGCATGCGGATGAATTTGAAAGACATCCCTCTGTGATAAAATTAAACATTCAAGCGACGTCCCGTGACGATTCATTTCTTCTCTCCGAACAGAATATATTTTAAATCGAGATTTTTTTTTTGTGTTAAACGGCGACCAAAAACATGAAATGGGGAAATTGGGTAAAAAAGAAATTTATCTTTATTCATCTGCAGCAAATTGATATTGATACAATTATTATTAATAAAATGCAGTTATCGATGATTTCCAACTCCTATTAATATCTTAACACAAAAAATATTAACCATAAATTTTTATGATGACTCAAAACTAAATGAGTTTGAAATATTTAATTCCTAAAATTCTAAAGTATTCATCAATTTGATTTTGAGTCAATATAAACACATTTTTTGCCCCCCTAACGGTAGATTAGTTTGAGGATCAAAACAGACGTCGATTAATGATTTTAAAAGATGTAAACGAACAGAGGTTCTTGATCTTCTTATAGCAGAGCTAGTCAATAGAAACAAAAAAGTTAAAACTCAATTTTTAATAAGTTTAACACACCTGGATGGCGTCATGATAGTCGCTGTTTCCTTTTGTTTTTCCCCTCGTAAAGTTTAATAAATTAATCCAATTTATTGATTTGAATCTAGTTTTATTGTAATTGGTCTTGATGATCAAACTCACTAATTTGAATTTATTAATAACTATTTTTATTGCTTGTATTCTTTTGCTTCTATCCCTGCTTGCCTCTCTAATCTTCTGTCTAATCAAGCTATTTATCGAAATCGTAAATTTATTACAATGTTTTCATTTTAATTTTTATTGGACTATTTTTTGATTAGAGGTAAATATATACATCCAAAGATGAAATACACACTTTTGATGTTTTTAAATAAGTCGAACGTGGAAGAGGATATAAAAATATTAATTGATATGAAAAAATATGGTCTTTCATCTATTAAAGCTTTTTAATTTATTACCCATGCCACTAAATATTTATTGGTACTTAAATTGTATGAAAAAAAAAATTAATGGTATTAATATGTCAGTTGTGACTATATATTTGCAATCAATTTCGATAACATACCATTGTTGGTACACTTAAGCATGGATCTTTTATATAATTCACACACACCCATTTCCTCAAACTAGTGTTAAATCATATAAACATCTTTAATGGGATACGAATTAATAGCTAAGTAGTGAGTGGTTGTGAAAACATAACAATTCAATTTTTTACGATTGATTGTCATAAATATTATTATAAAATACACATCCATATATGAATACTCAAAAATAGAAGATTAAAAAATTACTATTCCAGACATAACTTACATTAAATATAATTCATATTTTGTTGTAAATTATAGTTTGAATAATAAAAAAATACCAATGCATAACTGACGGAAACAAATCCATGAAATAAAAACAACAGACTGAAAAAATGATCATACACTCAAAATATTATTTATTATAGATCCGTACCCGAGCAGTAAATATCTTTTATGTAGAGTTTTTATTTGCCGTTTGAGTGATATATTTATATTCACACCGTTTTCACGTGTGAATCTATTGGTTTTGTTCAGATTGAAAAATCAGTTTTTTGAATTTTGTGAGGATATGGAGCAAGATAGCTTAAAATGTTCAGACATGAAAAGTTTGTGCCTGAAATTTTACATCATTTTCAAAAAACAGATTTCAAATTGGTTATGGCATAGCTGAGAAAATCGCAAAATACGCTTTCTGTAAGCAAACAAGCAAGCAAGCAAGCAAGTTAATCAGCAAGAAATCTCAATAACGAGACATTGTAGAGACTTCTAGTTTTTTACATTTGATCCGTGCTGCTCTATAGAAGAGCTGTATTGTTTTTAGGCAAGGTAGGAACAGCCGTTGTTTCAGAAAAAGCAAAAAACTTTCCTTTCTTACGAATTTTTCAAATTAAAAGTTCACTGTGATTTTATTTAAATTAAAGTTTGGATGAAAAAATTTTTTTTGAGTAAAGAGCCAAGTAGGAAATACATTTTCAATTATGAACTTGGGACAGGTCCAGTCAAAATCTAGTTTTTCACTTTTTTTTTTCTTCGAGGATAAATCCAAATACAGTAAAACTTTGTGTGAGCATTCTAATCGTCAGGTCACACATTTCTGAATTAATAAAAATCATTTTTGGGACAAAATTTTAAGTCACGTTGTTTTTGAATGTACGACCAAATTTATAAAATTTGGGTCTGACGACATATAGAATACATTTCTTGCTTTAGATATTTAAAACTGTTTTGTATAAATATTAGTATACTCACACAAAGTTTCACTGTAATTGGATAAACCTTCGAAGAAAAAAAGTGAAAAACTAGATTTTGACTAGACCTGTCCTAAGTTCATAATTGAAAATATATTTCCTACTTGGTTCTTTGCTCAAAAAATAATTTTAGGATGTTTTATTTGTATTTGTTTTAAGCACTAGAATATTTATGCAAAGTTTCAATCCATTTGGATAAACCCTCGAAGAAAAAAGTGACAAATTTGATTTTGACTAGGGTCGCCCCTAGTCCAAAATTGAAAATGTATTTCCTTCTTGGTTTTTTGCTCAAAAAATTTTTAAGATGTTTTATTTGTATTTGTTTTAAGCACTAGAATATTTATGCAAAGTTTCAATTCATATGGATAAACGCTAGAAGAAAAAAGTGACAAAATTGATTTTGGCTAGGGTCGCCCCTAGTCCAAAATTGAAAATGTATTTCCTACTTGTTTTTTTGCTCAAAAAAAATTTAAGGATGTTTTATTTGTATTTGTTTTAATCACTTGAATATTTATGCAAAGTTTCAATCCATATGGATAAACGCTAGAAGAAAAAAGTGACAAAATTGATTTTGGCTAGGGTCGCCCCTAGTCCAAAATTGAAAATAAATTTCTTTCTTGGTTCTTTGCTCAAAAAAATTTTAGGATGTTTTATTTGTATTTGTTTTAATCACTTGAATATTTATGCAAAGTTTCAATCCATATGGATAAACGCTAGAAGAAAAAAGTGACAAAATTGATTTTGGCTAGGGTCGCCCCTAGTCCAAAATTGAAAATTTATTTCCTACTTGTTTTTTTGCTCAAAAAAAATATAAGGATGTTTTATTTGTATTTGTTTTAAGCACTAGAATATTTATGCAAAGTTTCAATCCATTTGGATAAACGCTAGAAGAAAAAAGTGACAAAATTGATTTTGGCTAGGGTCGTCCCTAGTCCAAAATTGAAAATGTATTTCCTACTTGGTTTTTTGCTCAAAAAAAATTTTAAGATGTTTTATTTGTATTTGTTTTAAGCACTTGAATATTTATGCAAAGTTTCAATCCATTTGGATAAACGCTAGAAGAAAAAAGTGACAAATTTGATTTTGACTAGGGTCGCCCCTAGTCCAAAATTGAAAATGTATTTCCTACTTGGTTTTTTGCTCAAAAAAAATTTTAAGATGTTTTATTTGTATTTGTTTTAAGCACTTGAATATTTATGCAAAGTTTCAATCCATTTGGATAAACGCTAGAAGAAAAAAGTGACAAAATTGATTTTGACTAGGGTCGCCCCTAGTCCAAAATTGAAAATGTATTTCTTTCTTGGTTTTTTGCTCAAAAAAAATTTTAAGATGTTTTATTTGTATTTGTTTTAAGCACTTGAATATTTATGCAAAGTTTCAATCCATTTGGATAAACGCTAGAAGAAAAAAGTGACAAATTTGATTTTGACTAGGGTCGCCCCTAGTCCAAAATTGAAAATGT